AAAAAATAAAGTAAATTAAAATTAGATGCTAATTAACAGTCTTTCCATTAAAACATGTTTTCCTCGGGCGTTCCGTTTAGCCCACTTAGTAAGAGTGCTGTTTGTCTGGTTATATGTCTCATATAAACTAGACTGTGACCTCCAAAGTCATTGCTAGTTTCCGTTACTATGACAGGAAAAAGACCAACATTGGCTTGTCAAATTCTTAATTTGCCCCTGCCTTCACTTACACTTCTATTTATTCTCATTTAAGTACTATACTTCTCACATGTTTTGGGAGCATTGTTTAGAGTTTCCTTGGTTCAGAAATCAACTTAAGCAGGTTCGATTTTCTGGCTTTTCTCTTCTCTCTTTACTCCATCCCATTTCCTTCTTATCATAGAAATTTGATAGCTATTGGAGGCAAGTAAGTTGATAACAATTTAATAATAATAATAATAAAATCTCTCAAACCAATCATTTTTTACCTAAAACATTTTAATAACCAAATATTAGCATTCATCAATTTTTGGTTTACAACAAATTACAAGTTTTTCTTCAGTTTAACATTTTAGAACAAAAAAAAAAAAAATTTAACCGAGGAAAAAGCTTATTTGGGCCAAAAAAAAAAGAAAAGAAAAGAAAAGAAAAAACACCATAGAAAGAGTTTGTTATAATGCATCTCTTTGATTTTGAGTTGTAGGTATTTTCCAGCATCAATGGAGACCATGATCATGGGCTTTATCTTCCTTCCAATGCTGTTGATGCAATGCTTCATGGCTGCCTTAGCCATGTCTCAAACAAACTTGACCACAGACCAATATGCTCTTCTTCAATTCAAAGCTTCCGTTACTTTTGATCCTTCGAATATCATGTCCTCCAATTGGTCTTCTTCAGCTACCTCAATCTGTAATTGGGTTGGTGTTTCATGTGGTGCTTTTCATAGTAGAGTCACAGCCTTGGATCTTCCAAACATGAATCTCACTGGCAGCCTCCCTCCTCACTTGGGAAACCTCTCATTACTTGTTTCTATCAACTTGAGTGGAAACAGCTTCAATGGCCATCTGCCTCCAGAATTAGGGAAGCTACAGCATTTAAGGTTCATGGACTTGAGCTACAATTTTCTTAACGGAAGCATACCAGATGAGATTTGGTTGCTTTCAAAGTTGGAGATTTTTAGTTTAGGAAGCAACCAACTTACTGGAACTATATCAAGAAATATTGGGAACTTAACTAAACTAAGAGGAATATATGTCGGAGATACAAAAATAGGAGGTATGATTTCAAAGTTTTATAATTTTACGTCTTTTCTTTGACGGTATATGTTGAGAGTTAAGTAGTGATTCATCATTCTTCAATTAAACTCTAAACTCCCAATTTCTTTTGTAGGGGAAATACCAAAGGAGATAGGTAATCTTCATAATTTGGAGAGACTTTTCGCAGGAAATGCAAGCCTATCAGGTCTAATTCCACCAAATATCTTTAATATCTCTTCCTTAGGATGGATTTATCTCTACACAAATAACCTTTTTGGTACCCTTCCTACTGACTTGTGCTTCTATCTGCCAAATCTTGAGGAGCTTGGTTTGAGTGAGAATCAATTACATGGCTCAATTCCCTCAAGTATAAGTAGATGCAAGAAGCTTCAACTGTTGGATCTAGACACTAATAGATTCACCGGATGCATCCCAAGAAGCATTGGGAACTTGTCCAAACTTACTGAAATATATCTCTCTCATAATGACTTTGAAGGTGAGATTATTGAATATGTTTTATTTTCATTTATAATCTATGAGATTAATAATTTTTGAGTCATTGCACTTTACTCTTAACATTGTAAGCATTAGTAAAAGTTTCTTTATAGGTATCATTCTAATGCAAACCCTCTTAATATTTTTGAGTTTATTCTTCCTTATTATATTTTGCTTTCAAAGTTGTAGATTCTCAAAGTAGAAAACAACCAACCTATAGGAACTATATCTAGAAATATTGAGAACTTAGTTAAGTTAAGAGAAATATATATTGGAGATACAAAAATAATGCGAATGATTTCATATTTTTCTAATTTGTCTTTTTTTTTTCTTTGAAAATATCTGCTAAATGTTAAGGTAGGATTCATCATTCCTCAATTAAACTCTAAACTACCAATTTTTTTGCACGAGAAATACCAAAGGAGATAGGTAATCTTCATAATTTGGAAAGACTTTCAATAGGAAATGCAAGCCTATCATGTCTAATTCCACCAACTATCTTTAATATCTCTTCCTTAAGAGGGATTTATCACTAGAGAAATAACCTTTTTGGTACCCTTCTTATTGACTTGTGCTACCATCTACCAAATCTTGAGGTGCTTTATTTGTATGAGAATAAATTAAATGGCTCAATTCCCTCAAGTATAAGTAGATGCAAGTGGTTGGGTCTAAACACTAATAGATTCACTGGATACATCCCAAGAAGCATTGAGAACTTGTCCAAACTTACTGGAAATACATCTCTATGACAATGACTTTGAAGGTAAGATTTAATAAGCTCACCAGAAACATTCTAGAGGTATTGGAAACGGCACTTTACTCAATTATTTTGACAGATCTAGAAATTTCTTGATAGGTACCAATCTAATGCAAACTCTTTTTCTAGAATTATACTTCTTCATCTCTTATCTTTATCAACAATTCTATCTTTGCAAAAAATTTGAATGCAAGTTAAAAAGCTTATCAATTAATTTGTTTAAATGTTTGACAGGTGAAATACCAAAGGAGGTTGGCAACTTACCCTTGGTGACTTTATCTATGGGATTCAACTTCTTGACTGGTTTCATTCCTCCCATGATCTTCAACATCTCAACCTTGGAATGCATTTACTTAGGGAGGAATAATCTTTCAGGCCATCTTCCTTCAACCATTGGACTTGGGCTTCCAAAGCTTACTCAGCTATATTTGTTTGACAATAAAATCAATGGCATTTTCCCAAGTTCTATCACAAATTCTTCCTTACTTGCCTTTCTAGACCTAGACAATAACTCGTTCTTTGGCCCTTTCCCCAATTCACTTGGCCATCTAACATCCCTCCAATGGCTTCGCCTAGGTGACAACATGTTCTTTGAATTCTCCACTCCAAAAAGAAGCTTTCTCTTCTCTTTGATAAACTGCAAATATTTGACATTACTAGATGTATCATTTAGTTCATTGAATGGCATCCTTCCGGCTTCAATTGGGAACCTATCTAAATCTCTTCAATATTTGTATGCATCGAATTGCAAAATTCAAGGAAACATTCCCATGGAAATTGGCAACTTGAGCAACTTGATAAGTTTGGAACTTATTGGGAATGATTTGATTGGGCCAATTCCAGCAACAATAGGAAGATTGCAACAGCTCCAAGGTCTATATTTTCATAGCAATAGACTTCAAGGAACAATTCCGAATGATCTATGTCATTTGCAAAAATTAGATGTATTGGTATTGGATAGCAATCAGCTCAATGGATCCATGCCAGAGTGCTTAGCCAATTTGACTTCTTTAAGATATCTAGACTTAAGTTCCAACAACTTAAGTTCTACAATACCCTCAACCTTCTGGAGTCTTACATATATCTTGAAAGTAAACTTGTCCTCAAATTCCTTCAATGGCTCTCTTCCATTAGATTTTGGAAACCTAAAGGTCTTGATCAGCATGGATTTATCTAGAAATCAACTCTCAGGCAATTTGCCTAACAACATTGGGGATCTAAAAGATCTAACTCATCTTTTCTTAAAAGAAAATGCATTAGAAGGTCACATTCCTCAATCATTTGGAGGCTTGGTCAGCTTGGAATCGTTGGATCTCTCTAACAACATTCTCTCAGGAGTGATTCCTAAGTCTTTGGAAAGACTCTTTCATCTCAAATTTTTCAATGTATCTTTCAATAAACTTGAAGGAGAAATCCCAAGTGGAGGATCATTCAAAAATTTCTCTGCTCAATCATTTATGGCAAACACTGCTCTCTGTGGTTTGCCAAGATTTCAAGTACCTCCATGTAAGTCCCGTAAGAAATCCATCCAGGTGCAAATTAAATTAGTGTCACCACTTGTAGCAACTACCGTATTGATACTTTTCCTTGTCATCCACATCTTCAAAAGGCTACGAAAATCAAAAGCAAAATCCACAGATGAAGAAATTTTGCTAAGTCTAGCAAAATGGAAGAGAATTTCATACCAGGAGCTTCAACATGCAACTGACAAATTCAATGAAAGAAACTTACTTGGCACAGGGAGTTTTGGGTCAGTATACAATGGGACACTTCTAGGTGGAATGAACGTTGCAATAAAGGTCTTCAATTTGCAAGTAGAGGGTGTATTCGAGAGTTTTGACACAGAATGTGAAGTATTGTGCAGTTTTCGTCATCGAAATCTAGTCAAAATCATTAGCAGCTGTTGTAATGAAGACTTCAAAGCTTTAGTGCTTGAGTTCATGCCTAATGGAACCTTGGAGAAGTGGTTATATTCTGATAGATGTTGTCTAAATGTCTTGCAGAGATTGGATATAATGATTGATGTGGCTTCTGCTCTAGAATATCTCCACCATGGAAATTCAGTTCCGATCGTCCATTGTGATTTGAAACCTAGCAATGTGTTGCTTGATGAAGATATGGTTGCACATGTGGGGGATTTTGGTCTTACCAAGATTTTGGGAGAAGGGGAATCTGTGATGCAGACAATGCAAATTGCCACTATAGGCTATATGGCACCAGGTGATCATTCATTTTTCTCATTTTTTTAATTTTTTTTGTTATTAAATATTAAACATAATATTATACAATTTGATATAGAGTATGGATCATTGGGAATGGTTTCTACAAAAGGGGACGTTTACAGCTATGGCATCTTAGTCATGGAGACATTCACGAGACGAAAACCCACAGACAAAATGTTTACTGGAGAGATGAGCTTGAAGGCATGGGTGAATGAATCGTTATCTCGTTCAGGAACTGAAGTTGTGGATGCCAATTTGATGGAGGAGGAGGAGCATTTCATTGCGAAAGCAAATTGTGTATCATCTGTTTTGGAAGTAGCTTTGAATTGTTGTATAGAAGCACCCAAAGTAAGGAGAAATATGATGGATGTCGCAGCGATGCTTAAAAAGATCAAACATCAATATCTTAAGGATATTGGAAATTGAGAAAATCATGCAAATTAAATAACTAGAATTAAAGACTACTTTAGTGTTGAAATTGAGGTTTTGGACAAAAAATAACGATGGTTTCTCTACTTGTATAAATTTTATAAAATAAATTACTAATTTTATGGAAACTTCATTTCATTTCCTTGGTCATCTTGTTAGCACTGCATCGATAATGTTTTAATTTTAGGCTTTGGAAGAATGCAAAGGCATACATGCATAAATGCAAAATGGCAGCAGAAAGAGCTATTTAAGACAGTTTGGGCATAAGATAATCTTTTCCCCTTACAAAGAGGGAGATTTTTCTTTCGAGCTAAAAATATCAAAAACAAGTATTGTTCGAAAAAAAGGACAGAATAGTTTCAAGACAAGTAATCAGCAAAAGTTGAGGAGTGACAACTCTAATGGTTTAATTCAATAATTAATGTATTAACTATCAATTTAATTTCATTTTAGTCTAAAAAATTTGTTTTCTTTCTAAATGGTCTATAAACTTTGAAGAATATTTTAAATTAATCTACCATATAAAGTTTCTGTTAAATTTAAAGAAAAAGAGTAGTCTTTTGAGTTTTAAAAAAATGACACTATAATTTTAATAAAATACGATGACTCAAGGAATATTTTATAGAAATAGATTAGTTAGAATTTGTAATAAACTTGAGTATTTAGTTTAATTCAAATAAAGAAATTTAGTAAGTTTAGAACAAAAAGTTTCAAGAGTATGTTTATTTTATAGGGTAAATTGTAAAATTATTTAAATGTTCTTGAAAAATAATATAAAAATAAAATTAAAAATATTCAAATAATTTTACAGGACAGACTGTACATAGTCTGCTACGAAAAACAGTTTTCTAAAAAACAAATTTAGTAAGATAAGAATAAAAAATTATTTTTAAGGTGAATATAAATTTAAGGATTAAAAAATCAAAAGAAATATAATTAAAGTAACTAATTGTTTTCTGAGAGGTTAAGAAGATTTTCGTTATCTTTAACGGATTAGATAAAATTAAAATAAATGTAAAAAGTAATAGACAAAATTAAAAGAATTCAAAAATAATAAATAAAATTAAAAAATATATAAAAATTAATAAATAATTTATTAAATTAAAGTCAACTCTAATTATAAGAGTATATCATGACCACTATGATTGTAAAATCGCTAACATTAATATAAACAATGTCGAGGGTGTGATTATCTTATAAAAAACAACAGAATTATCCAAAGTTGATAAAATGGCTACGAAAACAATACCCTTTGGAAAGAAACAACAGAATTATCCAACAATAACCAGAGTCGAGAGGGGACGAAGAAAATGTAAATTTAAATGTGGGGGAGTTAAGGCGGAAAGATCGTGGGAGAAAGTCAGAGTGGATGGACACGTGTCCAAGATGGCCTTGCATGGATCCTTCTCGTAACGAGATAAGCCCTCCAACCCCACGATGGGTGCAAATCAGCCCTTCCGCTAACTGGCTTC